GACTGGACCACGGAGTCTGGCCCTGCGGGAATATGCGGCGTCGGCGACACAGGAGTGCAGCTCTTGCAGACGATGATGAAGAAGCACTATAGTGGAGCGAAAGCGTCGTGCAGCGCGCATTAACTTGGCGCGTGAGGTTTGAATACGTCGGTCCACCAGAGTCTCTGGAATGGATAGCGAATCTGATGGCAAAGAAATTGTGGACGTGGCAGAAGATCGTCCTGAAAAGGCCACTGCAGTCTCAAATAGTTCTATTAAATCAGTGTGTCGTGAGAATGTCGAGTGCTTACGCACCCAATCGATAGAAGTCCGTAAATCAGATGAAAACAATTCTGAAAGGCGATCAATGAGGGCGGCTAGTGGTGACTGGGCAGCGGATGCAACCAGCTTTTCATAAAGGGAGTTGACGCGCTGTTCATGTTCATTAATAAGTGCCTGCCAGGCTGCGATCTCGTCATTGTATCGACAGAATAGACGCTCATCTAGATCATCATCCAGGTCAGTGGGCATTATTTGAAGGGCACATATCTGGCCATCAGAAGGCATCATATTGGTAGGCGGAGCTTGAAACGAGGGTGGAGAAACAGGATTATGAGGCGATTGGGGAAGGGGCTGTGAGGTAGAGGGAGGTGATGGAGCAGTAGGTATGACAAAACCCAAAGCCAGGTAATGATAAAAAAAGGAAAGACAAAGACGATAAGATAGAATAATAAACTTATATTCTATAAGGTCATAAAAAATGTATAATAATTATCCTAAGCTATTCCTGATTTCAGAGGAATAGCCTCCATTGATAAAATAATTAGCTACTTAAAAATATAGAATCTTCCAGTAAGTCAAAGAACACATGTGAATTTAGAGACAAGTCGAGCTCGTGTGGACAATAGGGTGAATGAATATGATGATCCAGAACAAAAAAGTGGGGATAATGAGAATGCAAAAACATGGATCCCAATTGGATCTAAATAGATACGAACTAATATAATATAATCATTGATAATAAATTTTACGGAGCGTAACTAAATAAATGACACAAGTACTTTTAAACCTCAATATCATCTTTATATATGTATAGCAGAACAACCTTAGAATATAACATGATAAGTTTAATTTCTAAAACAAATCGATCTAAATGGGTCTCGTTCTTTTAATCAGAATTTGCTCAATAATGCAAGGTTAAAGTATTGTGCAATAATTCACCAAAATGTTAGCATTCTTTTCGAAATGAGGAAATTGTAATCATTAAATCGATATACAAGGTAAACCGAAAAGCTGTCCATGTGGCGAAAATAATACAGTCCTTAATTACTCAAGATAGTCGCGCGGACGGGATAGAGGTAAACGCTTGGCCAGGATTTAGCTTGCTAAAGCAGGATATAATATCACGTTACCACATGCTTTTGATAGAATTCCTCAGTGCTCTATTGGCATGT